CGCGCTATCTTCGTAAAATGAAAACGGAGCCAAATGACTCAAGAGAGGAGATAGCCATATAAGAGTGGATGCTTTTCAGCAAGAGTTATATACCGAAGTCATCCTATTTTTTTTTTTTTAATATCTGTGAAAGACAAAATGGCTCCTGTCGATATGATCTTGACGTCCACCACAGTCCGTGACTCACACCGGAATCGTTAGTCATGCATCTGGCATTCCCGATCTAATTATCTGCTCGGGTATATAAACACTTACGTTAGCGGTTGACGAGCATTGTGATTTTTAATGAAATAAGTTGTTGAAGTGAGTAAAAAGGAGTGAATCTAAGTGAAAGAAAAGCAATAAGCGTAAAAAAAAAACAGAAGAGACGGGCAAAAATGAGGAAATAGAGAGGCGAAGGTATATAAAAATAATATAGGAAGAAAAATACTTGCTGTAGACAAAATTATATTGGTAAAATAGGAAGATGGATTTATTCTCAAGACAATTGCAGAACGATATACAATGGGAATTTAGAAAGGAGATAGAGAAATTCAAAGACGAAATGAGTTTTAAAGAAAGAGACTGGAAAAAGGAAAGAAATGAATTAAAAGAACGAATAAAGAAATTAGAAACAAATTGGGAACATTATAATAATAATAGACAAAATAATATGAGGCAATTAGAACAAGAGAATAATACGAGGGATACATCGAGCCTTACTTTTACCTCAGGTAGATCTCAACTGCAAAGTATCCGGCCAACCACTTATAGTAGAACGGAGTCTACTCGAGGTAATGACAACTTGACGGCTGGACCTTCTGGCACATCCAGAAATGTGCAAAGTCACAATTCTAATGTTTCTGAGCCGAGTGGATCAAACAGGCCAAATGTCGCAAATACAGTATCAAACATTAAGGAAAATGATGCTTTTCGAGTTACTTCGGATGATGTCAATAGATCAACAAATAAATCAAATCAATCTGCGCCCGGAAATTCTCGCAACGTGAACAATACTGATGATGATAGTGCTAAGATTATATGTAAATGTCGGAAGCCTGCAATTCGATTTGTTCAAAAAGAAGGTCTATATAAAGGTGAGTGGCATCTACATGCAAATGCGATTTGTAATCGCATATATATGTCACTTCAAGTATTATTTGTAATTCCAGATCGTCCGTATTACAAATGCGCTTATAGTAAATATAAACCGCACGGAAGTCGTTGCGACTTTTTCTGGGATGCAACTGACAACGTCGAGTCTCAAGATGCAACAAACGAATATTCAAGTTCAGTTTCTAACATGGACAAAAACAACGCTGGTGTTGGCACTTCTAATATCAATTCGTGAGTAAAATCTCCGATCGGAAGAAATGAAAAACTTTTTTAATTAAACACGTATTGATGTTAATAATTAATGAGTTGAAGTAATAATTAATCAGTTAATTCCTAATTAATAACTTCACTAATATTTTAATGTATGTAAAAATAATATCTTTAGACTGACGGCTCAGGCTGATCCCAATAAAGAACAATCATTTGGCGTACGTCGCACTGTGAATTCTAATAATTCTTATAATCGGAACGTTTATAGTCGCGCGAATCAAAGCAATTCTAATTCCTTCAAAAGGTGTAAATATACCTAGCACAAGAGAAAATGCGGATTTTGTGGAACAGTAAGTAATGTGTAAAGAATTACTTATCTTTTTTTGGTCATAATCTCTTTTCTTCTGTCTTCCATTAATTTTTTAAAAATATCACCATTTTTATTATTCTCAATTATTGTAATCTGAATTGTACATATTATTTTACATTTTGTTTACTGTCCTTTTACAGATCATACGAAGACCACATGTCCAAATGCAAGCAAAACAACTATATACTTTCCCAAGGCAAATCATAATCCCTAGTTTTACGTAAAGAATTACCAGTTTAGAAATTATACGATTTTGTCTTCATTAGCCAGTCTTTATTCTGACTGGTTCGTTCAGATATCAATTAACTTTCGTCACAAAGAAAAAAAAAATATATATGTATATATATTTATAAAATTTATATTTATAAAAAATATATGTATATATATTTATGTACGTGGTCGATCGCAATCGCTACGTTCTGCTAATAACATTTTGAATATGTTCGAGATTAAATTACACACTTATAACTTATAGGTCGAGGACTGACTGACAAATTTTTTTAGATATATTTGTAAATAATGTACAATTTGTAGCAAAAGGAGTTGTAAAAATCTTAATTAGAACGTAGCAGTGTTAAATCCGGCTTTTATATATCTAAAATTTTTGTCTTATTGAAGCGATAACTCTTACAAGTATTAAGAGTCCGTTTGAAAGAAGCGGTTCGATAATGTTTATAGTTACTGTTTGTATTCAAATAAATGGCGCAAGTTACAGTGTTTAACAGATTAAATGATATTCGTGTGTTATAAGAAAAATTATTTTTCAATCTCTCCAATTCTTCTTTTTGCGAATAAATCGATTGTTTGTGTTAACTGTAAAAAATTAACATTATTGTCAACAATTATCATTATATGCTTCTATTAACGTTCTGCTATAAAAACGATACATTTATTTCAATAATATTTAAACGCTATATAAAAAGCTTCCCAGCAAGAAACACGTACATATATCGATACAGGAGCCATTCTTTTTTTGAAAGACAGAATGTCTTTCATAGATATTAAGAAAGACAAAAATAGGATGACTTCGTAATGTCGTTCGACTATGTAAACTTTCGGTACTCTTGCTGAAAAGTATCCACTATTATGGTTATGATCGATGATGTGATTTGATGTGACTAAATACAAATGGCTATCTCCTCTCTTGATTTATTTGATTTATTTTTATTTTTCGAAACTAACGAAATAGGTATTTTCACAATTATATTTTTTTACATTTATTATTAGTATTTTGATCTTTGTATCGTTTTATCTTTATGTTTCTATCACTATTTTCTATCTCTAAACACTCAAGGATAGAATGATAATGTATATTGATAACACATTGCAGCCCAGCTGCGAGGAAAGCACGATCCTTCATAAGAAAACTTCCGTTTGCGGTTGACGAGCATTGCGATTTTTAGCGAAATAAGTTGTTAAAGTGAGTAAAAAGGAGTGAATCTAAGTGAAAGAAGAGCAATAAGCGTAAAAAAAAAAACAGAAGAGACAGGCAAGAGTGAGGAAATAGAGTGAGAGAGGCGAAAGTATATAAAAATAATATAATAAGAATAATATAAGAAGAAGAATACTCGCGCGGTAGATAAGATTATATTGGTAAGATATGAAGATGGAATTATTTTCAAGATGTTTGAATGCTGCACAACGGAAAATAAGAAAGGAGATGGAGGACTTAAAGGACGAAATGATATTTAGAGATGAAGAAGGGAAAAAGGAAAGAAATGAATTAAAAGGAAGAATAGAGAAATTAGAAATGAGATTGGAGGAGTATTCGTATAATAAAAATGGACAAAATAATATGAGGCAAGAGAATAATACGAGGGATACATCGAGCCTCCCTTCTACCTTCAGTACATTCCGACCAGCAAATAAATCAAATCAATCTGCGCCCGGAAATTCTCGCAACGTGAACAATACATCTACTATTAATGATAACAATAATGGGATTATGTGTCATTGTCAGAAGACTGCGATCCAATTAGCAGATAAAAAAGACGGATCAACTAAAGGTGAGTGATAATTCTGCATACAAATGCATTTGATTTGTCGCGTCAGTCACTTTCATAACATTTGTAATTTCAGGACATCTGGTTTACAAATGTCCTGATAAATTGCAAGGAAATGGTGGTTGCAATTTTTTCTTGTCGACACCTGACAACGCCAAGTCTCAAGATAATACAGCGTGCAAACAATCAAGTTCGGTATTCAATTTGATGGACAGCACTGATCACTTCTCTCGCGCTTTTAATAACGAAATTTATTATTTGGGAAATACATCCGCAAATGATGTTATCTGTAATCAGCCCGCCCAAAAGTGAGTAAAATTTTCGGAAGAAACGATAAACTGTTTTGGTCGGATACATATTGATGCCAATAATTAATTCAGTCGATGTCTTGTTTAATATCGCCAATTAATAGCTTTACTATGTTTCTAATATACGTAAAAATATTTGCGCGCGTATTTTTAGGTGGACGGTTCACAAAGATGGCCCCAATAAAGAACGACAATTTTATGGATGTCCCAAGGGTACAAACCCTTTCACTACACCGTTTACTACTCGTAATTTTTCCGAATCGGTAGATGAGAATAACGCTGGTAATTGTAAGAACACGGACTTGGACAATTTTACTGCGAGAAGAGCAAGGAATAACGCATGGAAAAAGAAAAAGAGAAAGTGCGGAAATTGCGGAAAGGAAGGTAAAGAATTTTTTTACTATAATCTTCTCTTTTTCTTCTGTCTTTCTTTTTTTTAACTAATGACAATTGTTCTCAATTATATCCAATATTATATTCAAATTACATGTAAATGTACATATTTTTTAAAATTTTATTTTGTTTGTTCACAGGTCATACGAAGACCAAATGTCCAAATTGAGTGAACTGTTGAATGAATTTTTTCCAAATAATATGTAAATAATGTACAGTTTATAACAATTGGAGTTGTAAAAAGCTTAATTAGAACGCAGCAGTATCAAATACGACTTTTATATCTGTAAAACTTGATTTCTGTCTTATTGAAGCGATAATTTTCACAAGTGTTAAAGATTTCCGTTTAAAGAAAGCGATTCGATAATTAATTAATGCTGTTTTATAATTATTATATTCTAATAAGTGATGCAAGTTACAGTGTTTAATATATTAAACGACAACTTGTTTGTTATGAGAAAATTTTTTAGTCTCTAATTTGTCTGCAAGTGAACTGGTTGTTTATGCTAGCTACAGAAAAATTAACATTATTGTCGATAATTATCATTATATATACATTTATTAGCATTCTGCTAAAAAATGATACATTTATTTCAGTAATATTTAAATGCTATAGGAAGCTTTCCAGCAAGAGACACGCACATATCGATAGGAGATATTCTGCAGTCTTTCACAGATATTAAGAAAAACAAAAACAAGATGACTTTAGTATCCCTGTTCAAAAAAATTGTTAGAAAATGATAAAAACGATATAATCGTTTTTAATCATAGTTATGAACTACGATAGATATGATAAAACACGATAAAATATTAGGCAGATCCTATCAGTTTCTAATGTTTTCTATCGATTTTTTTTTACAGGTAAGTAACTCTTGCTGAAAAGCATTCACTGTTTAGTTATGACGATGTGACTTGATATGATCAAGTATGTACAAATGGCCATCTCTTCTCTTGAGTCATTTGACTTTACTTTTATTTTCGAAGTTAGTGCAGTAGGTATTTTCATGATGTATGTTTTTCTTACATCATTGGTCTTTTCACAGATATATTTCTGTACATTTATTATTTTGTCATTGTATCATTTTATTTTTATTTTTTTTATCACGATTTTCTATCTCTAAACACTTAAAGACAAAATGATAACACATACTGATAAAACATTCTCTGAACGCAGCCTAGCTCTGGACAAGTACGATCCTTTATATAAACTCTTAGCGTTAGTGATTGACGAACATTGCGATTTTTAGCGGGATAAAAGTTGTTGGAATGAGTAAAAAGGAGTGAATCTATAGGTGAAAGAAGAGAGCAACAAGAGTGAAAAAAAGCAAGAGAGACGAGAGGGAGTGAGGAAATAAGGTGAGAGAGACGAAAGTATATAAAAATAATATATGAAGAAGGATACTCGCGGTAGATAAAATTACATTGGTAAGATAAGAAGATGGATGGATTCTTAAGACGTTTGAGGGATATACGACGGGAAATAAGAAAGGAAATAGGGGACTTAACAGACGAAATGATGTTCAGAGAGGAAGACTGGAAAAAAGAAATAAATGAATTAAAAGAAACAACAGAGAAGGAAAGAAATGAATTAAAAGAAAGAATAGAGAAATTAGAAATGAGATGGGTGGAGTATAATAAGAATGGACAAAATAATATGAGGCAATTAGAACAAGAGAATAATTCGAGGGATACATCGAGCTTCACTTCTATCTCGAGTACATTCCCATCGCAAAGTGTCCAGCCAACTTCCGATAATGCAAGGCATATTCGATGTAACAATAATATACTTAACTACTTGCTGGCTGACACTTCTGACACATCCGAAAATGAACAAAGCCAGAATTCTCATATTTCTAAACAGAATGAATCAAACATGCTAAATGTCACAAATACAGTATCGAACATTAGGGAAAATGATGCTTTTCGAGTTACGTCGGATGATGTCAATAGATCAGAAAATAAATCAAATCAATCTGCACCCGAAAATTCTCACAACGTGAACAATACTGATGATGATAGTGCTAAGATTATGTGTCATTGTCGAAAGCCTGCGATGCAATTAGTTAAAAAAGAGGGGCTATATAAAGGTGAGTGATATCTGCAAATGCGATTTGTAATCAAATAAGTCACTTTGGATAACGTTTGTAATTTCAGAGCGTAGACATTACAAATGCGCTAACAGTAATAAATCGCAGG